GCCACAAAATAGCAGTTTTATATGTTACTAGCTGTTTCCCGCGACTTCGCCCGCGTTTAATTTAAAGTTTTAATTATGTTACTCAGAACCCTAATTCTTTTTCTCAAATATAAGTAGCCCAAGTTACTCCTTAGAACATCTGCTATCTGCCGTCGAAATCGGTCAAGCCGTTTCGGAGATTAGCCGGAACAAACAGACAGACAGACAGACAGACCGACAGACAGACAGACAAAAATTTTAAAAATTGTGTTTTTGTTATAAGTACCGTATATACATTCATATGCATTTAGTAAAAAGCTGTTATTTTAACATTACAAACAGACACTTCAATTTTATTTATTTGTATAGATATAGATGTATGTAGATGTATTGTGGTAAGTGTATCCAATGTGAATATGTTTTACAGTTAAACTTGTACACAAATATTCATTCGACAAATATTTTATTTGTCATACGTTTTCCACACGCAACGTTTCCCCCTACTAGATTCATGTATGTAGGTAGCGTATAAAATCAAAAAAGAAAAACATAGGATTTAAAAAAAAAACATTTTTTTAAATGTTTGACTAATTCTTTTATGAAGTCAAGATTTTTAAGCGCTACTTAAGGGAATTAGATTTAAGGCCCCTTTAGCGCAGGTTCCACATAAATAAAGGCAGCGACTGACTAGTATTTCGTGAGTAGGTAAATGTGTTAAATTACGTATATAGGTACCGTTTTTAGACATTGTGTTAAATTCTATTTTTATATAGTTCAATACAAATAGTAATCATTGACTATTTCACCAATTAATATTTTATTAATTAGTAGAAAAATATTTTATTTATTCATCTATTCATTCATTACAACTTTAAAAGACCACAGATTACATAGGCTTCCCTATGAAGATTGCCTCATATTTGCTATCAAGCTTAACAGGCGGGTTGGCATTCGCAATTTTTTTAACATTATTGCGTTCTTATTAGGAAGATTACTTAAGCGGCCACTACGCAAATATATATTTAATTAATTAATTTATCATTATTGACATTAATCTCTATATATAAAAATCAATTGAGATTTGATATATATAAAAATCGAGCAATATTTTGATGAAATTTTTTGTGTTTGAATGAGTCCCTAGATGGCTTAGATTCGGACCCGGTAGGTGGCGCTGTAGTCGAGATCCAGAAATCACCTGTGCTAAGCCGGGGTGGATCGTTAGTATATTATATAATAGATATTTGTTCCTGATATGTATGGTTTATGTCCGTGGAATTTTAAATCTCACCCAAAATAATGCTTTCTTATATATACGCGAAGACTACACACATTAAACGAAACCAATTTTTACAGATTTTATCGCGATTAATTTAACTTTTTAATTCCCGACGTTTCGGGTGCTTTACAGCACCCATGGCCACGGGGTGTACTGAGGTGTTTGGCGTCCCGATGTCATAGATAGCCCGGCTACCTACAGTTTTTGAATATTAATTTTGGTCCGATCTACGCAGAATGAGCTTACATTATTGAATAAAATTATGGTCACGAGGTGTTGCCCCCGTGACCATGGGTTGCTGTAAAGCACCCGAAACGTCGGGAATTAAAATAGTAAATTAAACTGTTTTTGTAGATTATTTCGACGGATAAAATATATTTATCCTACTAATATTATAAATACGAAAGTTGATGATTGTTACTCTTTCACGCAAAACTACTAATGGATTTTTATAAAACTACAATAATATAGCTTTTACATCAGAATAACACATAATCTATAATTCATAAAAATATTGTATAAATTGGTCTAAATATAACGATAAATGTTATGTAAGTCTGATAAAAATCTGTCATCTGCGAGCTATTTTGGCGAGAACACGCATCACGCAAAAACCTGTGAACCGATTTGCATGGGACTTTCACTGGCAAATAGCTGATGTTATAAGGAGTAATTTAGGCTACTTTTATTTTAGGGTTTCGCGCAAAAAAAAATCTACGCGGGCAGAATACATTCGTTTCTACATTGCGGTATGGATACATTTATCGAAGAATGCATTAGTTAGACTTCAAGAGCAGTCGGTCTTTACTGACCGCAGTATGCGTTGTTTGGTCTGCGGCCTCGCGAACGTTACCCTCGAAGATATGGATGGCGGCAAGGAGCTACGAATGTGATTTGCTGATAATTTTTTTGAATATATGCTTCATTTGTCTCTGGTGAAGAACTGCAAATGACATTATGGAAAGTTTACAATACTCGTAGATATAATGCATAATCAAAACATATAATTTATCGTTTATTTCTTTCATTTACAAATCGTAAGCAAATAAATCTAAACATATGATTTATAAAAACATTAAGGGACTTATTACAAAACGTGGTTTATTGATAGTCTCGAGTTTGAAAATGAGTTCTTGTCACGAAAGAAGTCGTTTAACAGTTACAGCCACAGTTACGCGAAATTTGTCATTTTCTGTCAAATTACGTATTGAACTTTTAGCACATTTTTAGTTCGTATATTTTCCATGGGACTTCTTTATTGAAACAGACTCGAGTTTAAATTGTAATAAGAATTTTTTTATTTGCATTTGGTTGCGATGTTAAGTTTAATTAAAACTTTAATTTAACAGTTACTATAGTATGTATTGTTTTTGTTTACTAACACGCAAATATAGTAATATAAATATATATTAAAATATTGTGTCTATTTTGTGACTTGAATTTTGATTTCTATTTATTGAAAAATAGATTATGTGAAATAAAATGCAAAAGTAACTATAGTCATAAAGTAATTCTAGAATCGAAGAAGAAACTACTATGTAATACTACGATTAGAGATGTAGTAGTTCTACGTATGAATTCTATACTTTGTATTACACGAAGATCCTTTTGTTCGCAACTCTAGTTGTTTCACACCTACTTAGGGCCGAGGGCCAAGTGCTCGTTACCTTAGATTGAAGGCTCGCGGTCGACGCCCGGAGAGCTATCCCTACGGATCCCACATAAAAACCTGATATGCAATACGCTTTTCTATACACGGAGATGGCCGTTTTGAACGAAGTCGATCATGTTCCTTGAATATTTAAATTAGTCGGGCGGCTTGTTCATGGTACTCGTTCTCAATCGTTTTTGTTGTACCTACAATTATTTTATGCAAATATATTTTTGAACTTAACCATTGCTTTGCATGTAATTCTAGTTTTTTATTCATGTCTGTAATGTTCTAATATTTAGTTAAAAATCGTCTAGACTTATAAGAAGTTAAACATTGTACCACTAGACTGTAATTTAATAGTTATGACAATAGTTACAAAACGTTATTCATGTTACAATTTAGAAGAATATTGTTGGATGAATGTGTTGAAAAAATGCGACTTCAAATGTTTATGTTAAAAAAAATTATATGATTTTAAAGAAGTGTCTTTTAAACATTATAAGCTCTTACACTTTTATATTGAATGAATTTTTACTAAATGAAGTTATCTTTACTATATGTTTTACATAAGTTTAGTGTAACAATATAATTAAATGAAAACCGCTAGTTTAAACTAATTCTATTGAAATGTTATTGTTTTATTTATAAGTTATTTTAAATAGGTGGAAACTTTTTTCCGTTAAACTTATGTGATAAGTGTCTACAAGATTTTCTAGATAGGTAGGAAATCTTAGAAATAGTTAATAATATGATATTATTAAATCATCGGTGCCAGTCCGTGGCAGATCAGAGGATAAAGACTTGCCTTTAATTTTGCATCATTAAAATTGATAATTCTTACTGCTGATTTTCTATTCCTATTTAATTCGAAAACATGCATTTCTGAGAAATAAAAGATTTATTTGAGAACATCGCTTTGGGGCAGTGCTACAGGCTTGTTTATGCTTTAGATTCCGGACTTAGCTTTTACTTTTTTATATATATGAATGATCAAATTACATAGTACCTCTAATAATTATATAGAAAATATTTAATAATTGACTGACAGGTGATATTTTTTTTGGAAGAGGATTATATTACAATATATAAAAACTGAATCCTTGTTACGTTTAACTTAACGCCTAATAAAATTAAAATTCATATTTTTAGTTTATTTTATTTTTTGGTAAGACGCCGGTTTTATTGTTATAAAACTTTGATTTGAAAGAAAATATATAAAAAAATTATTACATTACCATAATGAAGGATTTAGCTTGTTCTTTCGATTTTCTATTTTTCCCCAATTTTAACCCATTCACACTAGATTTTTAAAACAAATAAAAACTGTTACGTTACTTTTTTCATTTTAAGCAATATTTTAAAATTTCTATTATTAATTATTCCTTAATATTATTAATTCATATTATTATATTTTGATTACTTTGAACAGCAAAATGATGTTTAATAAAAATATACATTTAAATCAATTGTTTATTTCGAATATAATATCACTTTTGACAATGTCAAATATTGAAAATTTTTACAATAAATATTTACTTACTTCTAATCATTGACTAAATTACAAAATGTACAGATATACAATGCTATGTTAGCTAACCTAACTATATCTAAGTTATCACAGATATTGGCAGCGCAGCCATTTTAAATCATTTCATGTTAGATAGCATATTACACATTGGCATAATAAGTTTAACTTTTGTAAGTTAGATTACTTTTGATTGAATAAAGTTTCACTGACAAGACACATATTAAAAATGTAAATACTATGAAATGTAAATTATTGTGCAAACAAAACAGCATTGAAAAATAGGGCAACATAATATGACCGATTTAATACTACAGACATAAATCGTTGTATTAAATAAATGATTTTTTAAAACTTTTAACTAAAATGAATGCTTATCATATACATATATCAAATATAGGAATTTGTACAATATCACTAGTTAGAATTCTATATTACAAATTATTTACAATATAATATAGGCTAATGGACTAGCTATCACAATTTTCACTGAGTCACTTTATATTTTTACTTCGTTTTATATGTTAAATCACTTCACTAAAAGCTTAAAAGTTCCACGTACTTCAAACGTGAGCTGATAAAGTACGTGGCGAGGCACGCGGGGGTAATTGATGTGCAATATGAGATGGGTGTGGAGGTAATACTGGGTGTGCTCCGTGCACTGGTGGCGGTGGCAATGCCCCCATATGGGCTCGAGCTTGAACATGTCGGTGCATTGGTGCGCCACCTGCGACGGGACTTGGTGCGCCATGGCACCGCTGGTTACTTGGTACGTCGGGTAGAGCAAATCTTAACTTTTCCCAAAACGATTTGTCACTCCAATGCAAATACGTATTCGTTTTTAAGTACAGTCGTAAGTCGGGATCAAGATCCTTTGGCGGAACATCATCAATTAGAACAACTATAAGTCTTCTTCTTCTGTCTCTTAAAACTTGGAGGTGTGCTGATTTAAATTCAATACTACTCCATTCAGATTTTATATAATTTTCACTTAATACCATTATTGTGCGACGAGATGATTGCACTGCTCTAGTCAGATTTTCCACGACGTTCCCGCTGACTGCAAAATCGCGATATGGCAAACATAATTTATAGGAGTGGTCACCACGTTCAAGCATAGGGACTAACTCCGACGCTACCCAGGCTTCATCTTTTGAACTGTAGGTAACAAAAGCGTCGAACATTTTTTCACGGTCATCTCTATCAATGTCATTTGCACGATGAAACAGCCGTACACCAAATTTAGAATGAAACCATAACTTCATCTCCTGTCTAAATATAAATATAAGGAGACTCAAAAATAATACTAGAACTAAAATACCAAATGCTGTGATAAGCAGGGGTATGTAATCAGGCACTTCTTCACTTGTGATGATGGTTTTTGTTGCAGTGAGATTTCCGTTAATGCTATTGTTAATACTAGGTAATCCTGTACATAAAGTGTTATTTTCTTCTAATATTTTAAAACCAGAATCGGGTTCGCTATATATGCTTTCATTATATGGAATTACATCTGTAATATTTCTCTTACTGTATATGCATTTTATGTCGGTTAGATCATAAATATAGGTCACCCTCTTTGCCCATTCTCTGAACATTTCTGTGTATTCGCAGTCACATGACCATGGATTATAAGATAAAGTTATTTCAGTCAGGGCTGGACTGATTTGCCACACTGATATCGTTATTAATCGATTATGATCCAAGTGTAATATTTTCAAACGTGGCATATTATTAAGCATGTCTTTTCCGATACTGCGAATGTTATTGTTGTTTATGTACAGTTCACGTAAATTGTCTAATCCATCAAATTCTTGTCCTTCTAATTTGTTCAAATTGTTGTAGTCTAAACGTAAAATTTCTAACTCCTTTAATCCATTGAATGTTCTGTTATGAATTGCTTCAATTTTCGACGAGTTTAAGTACAATATTTTTAACCTTTTTCTTCCTATAAATGCGTGACTTGGAAGCATTTTTATGTCATTGCCATCTAGATAGAGTTGCGTGGCCTCCATTGGTATTCTTTCGGGTAATGAATTCACATAACCAGCGCTTGTGCATTCCACAACATTAGCCGACCACGACTGGTCATGATAACAAGTACAATTATTAGGACAAGTCATTTCACAATCACATGCGTCGAAATCACAGCAGTGACAAAGCGCAAAACAATGAAATTCATATTTACATAAAAATTGATGAGGTGCTGCCTCAACTAAAGGTACGTGTGCGTTGCCACGATTATATAATAATTTGCAGTGTATACTATCCAAATCCATAAGCTTTGGCTGCGTTCTGGCTCGGTTTCCAGTATTAACTTTTTGTAGCCACTCCATGGTGCAATCACATTCTAATGGGTTTCCGCCTATAAAAAATTCGGGAACGGATTTATCTTGAGGAACTGCAGATATTCTTAATGAATTTGGGTCTAAGCTTGTTATTTTATTTCCGTACAGATCAACTCGTGTTAAATTGGGTTTCTTGAAAAAGGTGTAAGACTGAACTTTAGAAATTAAATTATCATTTAAGTATAACATTTCAACTGAGTTTGGTATTGCACTTCCAGTTATCTCAGTTAGCCTATTTGAGCTTGCATCAAAAGTACTAAGTGACAGCTGCGATTCAATTTCAAAGTAATTTCCAAGTTCGGCAATTCTGTTTGCGTGAATGTCTAGCCATTGCAAGCCAGTTGGAATCATAGCGTAATCGAACCATTCTAAACGGTTATCAGATATGTTCAACCATACTAAGTTGGGTAATTTAGCGAAAAGGCCGCCGATTTCTGTCAAGTAGTTTCCATCGAGTCTTATAGCTTGTAAATTCACACTTCCGTCGAATGCTCCAGCTTCTATTTTGTGAATTTTGTTTCGAGACAAGTTCAGTATTTTTAGAGAGGTCATTTTATCGAATACGCCCTTGCTTATATTGCCAATGTTATTTTCAGTTAATCTTAATCCATACATTTGTTGCATAGTCATAAATGATGCATTTTCAATGCTTACAATTAAGTTCTCACCTAGGTCAAGAGTTTTTAATTGCGGAATATCTTTAAGAGCGATTGGAACTTCGTCCAATCGATTCCCATTTATATGCAGGTCTTGTAAAGTTGAACAATTGCGGAAAGCATGAGGATGTATTTTTGAAATGCGATTGCTATCTATAGAAAGGATAGTAAGCATTGGCATCCCAAAAAAGGCATAACTTTCAATGTTAGTCAATCGATTATTTGATAAAATTAACGTGTGTAAATTATTAAGAGAGCTGAACACATTTTCTGGTATATGTTCTATAAAATTATCCTGCATCTTCAAAATTTGTAAATTTTGTAGGTCTCTGAATAAAGCTATTTCCATTTTAGAAACTCTGTTGTGTGAGAAATCTAGATACACTAAGCGCTTTAATCCTGTAAATGTTGAAGTATTAATCCAATCAGACGTTAACTCGTTATGTGACAAATCTAGGACGAGCAGTTGTAAAAGGTCGCTAAATAATCCAGGCGCTAATACGGTAATTGTATTATTATTAAGGTATATTTCTTTTAGATCTTTTGTATCGCTAAATAATTCAGGGGGCAAACTTGTGAGCTGGTTGTCAGAGAAGCGAATTGTTGTCAAAGAAATTAATCCTTCTAATGCTCTGTCAGCAACAGAATTAAGTCCATTGCCCTGGAGATAAAGCTTTTGTAATCGTTTTAACCCAGAAAGAAGTCCTGGGGGTACTGTATCTATTACATTTTTCGACAAATCTAAAATCAAAAGATTGTCTCCGCATTTTTCAGTAGGGTGTCGATGAGCTGTTGAAAATTGAAAATGACTTATGTCTCTCATTCGATTGTTAGTCATGTTTAAATATTCAAGATTTCTTAAAGAACAAAGAGCTCCTTCAGGAAACGTCAACATGTTGTTTTCACTCAAATCTAATCTTTCCAAATTTTGTATATCTCTGGAGAAAGCTGTCGGTGTTATCTCTAGTGACATAGTCGCCCACTCTGTATTATGCGTTCTGATTGTTAAATTTTTCAACTCACGGAGTCCCGTAAATGCTCCATCTGTAAGGTTTCCGATTTTGCAGTATTCTATTGTAAGTTCGCGTAGCTCTATTAACTGGCGAAAACTTCCAGGTGCCAAAGAACTTTGAAAGAACAATGCGTCACTACATTCAAGTCGTAATCTTACGGTAAGATGAGGTTGTATAGCACTAAAGTTCGTATTTTCTAATTCGCTGTTTATTGTCCTTAATCTACACTGTAACGTTACACCAGACTCATCGTTGTCAGTTGTCCAACGACACTCATCAGGAGCCTGATATCGTGCTCCCGTGGTTGCCGACAAAGAGGCGCTCCGTGCAGGCAAAGTAGCGCTCAACAGTAAGAGAGCGCTGGTAAGTAACATTGTGCACATTTTTAATTCACTAAACTTCACTTAAATATTCGAGGTATACATAGTTTTTTTCTACATTCTGTAGCACAAACTCAGCACTAAAACAATAAATGCAACATCGTTGTTATAAGTTTAGGAATGTATTTGGAAATTTCACTATATGAACCGGTCACTTAAATTACTTCCCGCGAGCGCACTAATTGGAAAAGATCGCGTGTCACCTATGGGAAGAACGTGACGCGCGCTCGCGCTGACGTTTTGGGTGGAACTGACTGTGACTCGTAGCCAAACCTGCGCTCGCGCACAAGGCCGCGCGAGTTCACGCGTTCCAACAGGTAAATTACGTTCCGAGTCTAAAAGGTTCTATCCGCCTTCGATGGGGCCTTGCGTTCCGCTTTATTCGTTTTAAAGCTGCCTGACAGTAAATCCAAGCTACACACACACCAACAAAATGCATATAACACTACTAAGTAAAACTGCTTTTTGTGGCGCACGGAGCTTTCGTGATGTAAGTGCGAGTGAGATATAACGATTGCAGGGTGGCGAAGGCACGTTGGTGGGGATCTAACCAGCTGCCCAGGTAGTGCGCCGGCTAGCGAGCTGCCATTCTCGTTGCTTGTTAACACTACGCAGTCAGAATTATTTTGTTCACGATAAACGAATGTTAACAGTAATTATGAATTCTTAGTTGAATTTGCTACGTTAACTTTAAATTAGAAATGAAAATATTTTCTTGAACTTTATTTCCTTTGTGTTCTAATAATTCTTAATTTTTATGTTTAGTGTAATTTTAATAAAATTAGTCCAATTTTAGTTTTTTAACGTAAAACTTCCACCGCTAGACTTAGGCATCCCCCATAGTATGGAGGCTTTGCTTTAATTAATATGATTGCCACTTTTAACGCTGCTCTCGGTCGCCGGTCTGGATACTCTACATCGAATATAATTTATAATACGATATATTTTATTGTACAATATCAGAGACCATAAGCTCTTCCGTGCCCCCAATCCTTAGTTGGCTCCAACCCACGACACCCACAGGATGAGACGAGATAATGGATTCTCTTACGTCGCCATCACACGACGAATGTTTAATTACTCTAATATGCTTTAGAATCTAGTGAGAAATAGTACATTTTTTTGTAAATAAACAATACTACGAATGTGTACCGTATAAATTTAGAATTACTTACTTATATGTAAATATCGATATTCCCGCTTTTATTTATATTAAGTAAAATTTGTTATAAGCTTATTCTAAAAGAAAGGGAAAAAATTCAAAGATTTTTAACCCCTTATTAACTGATTATGGTGTATCTGATTATTGCACACTTTGTAAAGTTTGGTAGCAGTCCTATATTTAACTTAAGCGATTTGACCATAACATCTATTTATTTCAACATCTTAGCCTACCATCACACTAAACGTTTAACAAACTCGGTTATTTGATCGTTCAATTTTAAAAGTTGTGGTCAACTTTATCATTATAGAGTGAGCAATGTAGATTTTCAGAGTTATTTTTAATTATTATATTTGTAAACACATTGATCAACGATCGAATTCATATCATATTTCTGCGTATTTAAAAAAATAATAAAACCTACTACTTCTATACCGAATATGTATCATTCGTTTGATGTTAACTTTACCTACATTGTATGATAGAGGTAACAGCAAGCCCTATGTTCTGACGTTCTACCTACTTCGCCTACTTTAACTATAAAAACTCTTTATTTTTATTCAACGTAAAGCCGTAAGATGTGAGTTATTATATAATATGACGAATATTTTTTGGTCAACATTTTAACAATTTTTAAATGAATACGAATGCTTTCTGGAGATCTGAAAGTTTTTGTTAGATGAACATTTAATAAATGATGTGATAGGATTGTGGTTTTCATTTGGTTTCTATCAGACTGAAATCCTAGGTTAGGTAATAAATACCATAAAAGACAATTCTTAGTATCGACCATTATAGACAGATTAATGACGAACAAAATATGAGCTATAAAATAAATAGTCGTGATCATAATTTCCTAGGTGTCGGAATGATAAGCCGGTTAGCACGTCCGCCGCTTTACTATTTAAACGATGTTAGCGCAAACGCGATCACGAGGCGCCTTCATATCGCAGTTGCAATATTTTATCTCCTTTGACACACGAGGAGCGGAAAATTTGCAATCGCTTCACACTACTTTGGATCATAGTTAACACTGCAAACAGCTTTGTAATAGTCACACGCCCTTACAAACATATCTAATATTTCACACCGGTCCCACGAGACGTTTGTCCAGATTGCTTTTAGAAACATCCCCTTACAAAGAAACAGCGGGAGATCTCTCCTTCGACTTTTTGCCGTAAGTGGAGAGGCGTTTCTTGACCTGCACTATAAAAGAATAGATTGCCGGTAAATCGTTGGTTATTGTGGTGGAGCTTAATGGTTATCCCATAGCTCGTTATATAACACGCTGTCCGTATTCAATTTACAATGTTTCACGTCGACACGCAACAACTGTCCGGGATGCCGGATAGCTGCGTGGGTACATGTGTGCGATGTGGGTCGATTGCTATAATGATTCATGCAAGGACCTATCTGCATAGACTATAAAATACTTTTATAAGCTTGACTTCATATTAATTGCAAAATCAGTTAATATAGTTACCAGCGTTGTATTATTAGTTACGATTTAAGTATAATATGTAGTGCACGCTAGTGTATGAATGATTGGTAAGGGACAAATAATACAGCTTTTACGAAACATCAAAATTCATAATCGATTACTGATAAAATTCGCAATTTATGGCATTGCTTCTCCCCTTTCGATTCGTTAGTAATATTTCCTTTTAGATATTTTATACTTACCAAATATTAAAATATTAATTAGTGAAATCCGTCATACTTATCCTTTTAGTTTCTCTATGTTTCTCTATCTTATATTTTTAGTTTCTATATGGAATGAAGAATTTGATTAGATATTTATATTTGTAACTTTTAACTTCGCCTCTATTAACATAATAAAAGCGTTGATTTTTTAAATTCATTATTATTTAATTTTATATGATTTCGGTGTCTAATCTTCACTGACAGCAGAGATACTGACGCAACACTTATCTCGATGTCGAAGGACATGTATAATCCATTAAGTCGTCATTTCCACACGGCTGATCATTCCTCAACCACGCGTCATCCCGCCCCCAAGCCGACACATGCCGTATTGTTCGCTACTGCATTATCTTGCCCCTACTGTTATAAGGTCATTTCTAATTACTAACTTAAAAAGCAATGCATACCCTTATAACAAACTAATTAAGTAAGAATTAAATACTGTTTAGAAATTTGTTAAATCTGAATTCTAGATCTTATTTTGTTAGTTATTTGAGCACATGGTTGGTTCGACAATACTTTCTCACATTAAATACTAATTAAACCTATGGTCCCCGTAAATTTACAATTCATCGAATCCACACATAGACTTACATAATATACAAATTTATATAAAATTGAAGTGTCTGTAATAACTGCCTTTCTGCCTTTTATTGATCTGAGGGCGTTCTTGCATTAAACCATGATAACCATTTTTTTATTTTAGTCTGTTCTTTTGTCTGTCTGTCTGTCTGTCTGTCTATGTGTCTGTTTACCCGGGCTAATCTTCGAAATGGCTGAAACGATTGTAATGAAACATCACGAACAATTAGAGAACAATGCCAGGAGTTATCTATGCTATATTTCATATAAAAACTTGGAGGTTTTTTTATTTAAAAATAGAAAAATTTATAAAATACTAGCTGAACACAGCAGACGTTGTCCTGCTAGTTAATATCATAGGTTGCGTTCAGCAACGTTTTTTATTTTCGCTTATGCTTGATTTGAAAAAAAACCGAATATAATCAAAAAATTGAAATTTTGTTTGTTGCAAAATTTTGTTTAAATTTTTTTAAGGTTATAAATATAAACCTCCTTTGAAAAATACATATATAAAATTGGTATATATATACCAATTTTCGTGGTGATCGATCAAATAGATTTTGACTTAAAGGATTTCATATATATATAAACATTCTCTTTTATATGTATAGATGTATGGTCTTTGAAGATTATCTTAAATCTAAATAACGCCACATTAATAGATACAGGAAGTTGGGGCGGTTATCTATTATTAAATATAATTCTACAATAAAATTAAGTACTATCGATTGGGTTATTGTGATTTCATCCTTCTAAGTGATCTATATTAATATCTACTGTTTTTGTTTCAGGTAATCAACAACATAACACCAAAGTGCAGTTTTTTATTAGTAAGATAAGTAAAAACAATTCCTTCTCACCAACGAAACTATTTTCGCCACACTGCAATTAAGCCACATTATATCATATGTAAAAAGATTGTTTTTATAAAATGGTTTGTGTTACTCCTTATATAAATAAAAAAAAAATCGTATTTTATACAACCAAACGCGTTGTTTTGAAGATAATATTATGTTTTTTTAATATAACCTCATAATGAAGAGGCCATAGTGTGTAAATTAAAAAGATTTCACACGTGAGCAGAGGCCTTAAAAGTGCTTTGAATTGTAACACGGGCAATTTGGCGCGCGAGAGGCAGCATCGGTTTTATTCTCCACGGCACCTGGTGAATTGGGACCTACTAGGTGCGGAACATAATGTTATAGAGACTACAGAGAGCTGGAAATGTTGTTTCTTTGAAATTTTTATTATTATATTTTGGAAAAATTATTAAAAACTGCAATCTATAATATAAAAATGAATCGCTGAATGTGTTGCTAAGCGCAAATCTCGAGAGCAGCTTAACTGATTTCGCTAATTCTTTTTTTATAATATTTCTTGAAGTACGAAGATGGTTCTTACGGAGAGAAAAATTTAAAAAATTGCCTGAAAAAGTTTTTTATCTTAGTAGCTGACCCAGTGTCCCGAATGGCAGAATAAGTATTAAAAAAAAGAATTGACTGTTGGGCGGTACGAAGTTCGCCGGGTCAGCTAGTATATAATAAAA